AATTTATTTTAAATTGCCAGCATTTGCTTATAAACTCTTTCCTGGACGGATAAGCCTACACACAGTTTGTCATTTCCCAAACACCACACAGGGAAACGCTGCTCTTTGTTAATTGCATCCACCTCAGACAGATTTAAGATGTCAGGTGATGCTAATACTTTTTATGGAGCTTGAACACTCCCAGCTTATTGTTGCTGGTCTGCCCACTGTAGCACAGGTAATGACAAAAGGAGAGACATCAGGAAGCAAATTCATTTAAAAAGTGCATTGGGGAAAGGCCAAAGCACATTAGACGGCAATCAAACCTGGTTATGGGAAAGATTAAAGCCAGCCTTTCAGGGCTAAAATGCAATACAAAGTTTAGAGGAACTGCTTCTTTTTTAAAACAACAGCAACAACTATGAAATCAACTTTTAAAGTCGGACATTTCTATATCCTAGACAGGCAGAGCAGTAAGGAGATGCCTTATTTCATCTGCCTTGCCCCACCTTCCAGCCCTAGGAGCCTTTCCTGGATCATGACTTTGAGGACAGCAGAAGCAGCTGGATAGAGACAACAACAAAAACAACAACAACAACAGTAATAATTTATTATTTTTACCCCGCCCATCTGGCTGGGTTTCCCCAGCCACTTCGGGCAGCTTCCAACAAAGATTAAAATAAAATAATAATAATAATAATTTATTTATATCCCGGATATCTGGCTGAGTTCCCCCAGCCACTCTTGGCGGCTTCCAACAAAGATTAAAAATTCATTAAAATGTCACACATTAAAAATTTCCCTGATCAGGGCTGCTTTCAGATGTCTTCTAAATGTCAGGTAGTTGTTTATCTCTTTGACATCTGATGGGAGGGCGCTCCACAGGGCGGGTGCCACTACCGAGAAGGCCCTCTGCCTGGTTCCCTGTAGGTTTGCTTCTCACAATGAGGGAACCTCCAGAAGGCCCTCAGCGCTGGACCTCAGTGTCCGGGCAGAATGATGGGGGTGGAGACGCTCCTTCAGGTATACTGGAGCTCAGGGATATATATATATATATATATATATATATATATATATATATATATATAATTTTATAAGATGTGTGTCCTTGTTTCTCAATTTGATCCTTTTACATGGTTTCATACGTTTTGTGGTATTCTATGCATTGTGACTTGCCGTTATTTTTATTGATTACAGTTTAGTAATTCTTTATTGTAATTGATAAGTGTAAACTGTCTAATTATTATTTGCTGTTATTTAAATTTTACTGTTTGCTATTATATTCTAATGGATTACTGAATATTGCTTTATTTGACCTAAGTAGTTCATCTGAAAGTTATTGCAACTTTCTGGTATCGGATCCGATTGTTATTATGTGTGTGATCTTTGCTGTCTGCTTTGTTGTTTCCTCAGCTCGTAAAAACCCCCGCCTTGTGTATAGTAATATAGAAAGACGGTATGCAAATTAAACGTGAAATGAAAAAGGAAATATCCCTAACTCCTTTCAGGAGGGGGCTACTGCTGGTTGAATTGGCCTAAACCTGGCAGGGGAAATGGAAGCCTTTAAAATAGCATTTGACATTTTGCCATTGTAACTTCTGTTGGCTTGCTAGGTCATGTGGCTGAGCCGAAAGGAGTTTTGACTAGTGGCAAGTCACCCCTGCCCTGTACTGTCCATTCTGCACCCCTGTAATCTCCACCTTTGGGGGCTTACTCTCACCTGGGCTCCTTGGCTGAACACTGGCTGAGTAAGGAGGGAAGGCTTATATTGGTGCCTCTCCAGCTAAGTCAGGATGGCAGACTCTGCCTATTCCAAGCCCCTGTTAGGATATTCCATTCCACCTAAAGTACAGGCATGATTGTTGTGTGTCACATGCCTGTTTACACTCCAGCACAGCTTGCTGGGAACTTCCATTTGTGTATAGCTTTTGCTTTAAGCTGCTTGCTTTGGACACGAAGGGGAGAGGACATGTTTTTCCTTTTGTCCTGATGTATGCTGAATAAGGGATGTGGGTGGCGCTGTGGGTTAAACCACAGAGCCTAGGACTTGCCAATCAGAAGGTTGGCGGTTCGAATCCCCGCAACGGGGTGAGCTCCCGTTGCTTGGTCCCTGCTCCTGCCAACCTAGCAGTTCGAAAGCACGTCAAAGTGCAAGTAGATAAATAGGTACTGCTCCGCCGGGAAGGTAAACGGCATTTTCCTTCGCTGCTCTGGTTCGCCAGAAGTGGCTTAGTCATGCTGGCCACACGACCCCGAAGCTGTACGCCTGCTCCCTTGGCCAGTAAAGCGAGATGAGTGCCGCAACCCCAGAGTCAGCCATGACTGGACCTAATGGTCAGGGGTCCCTTTACCTTTATCTTTTTATGCTGAGTAAACTGCTTGTAAATATGCTCAACACAGCCTCTCCCTGCCACTTCTGTTGTGCAGCATTATTTACTTTGCTGAGTGTGCGTGCCCAGTTTCTGAAGGCTGGTCCAAGGACTGGAGATTGACTGGCTCACCGACCGGTGGGCTGGGGCCTGCTGGGGGCCTACCAATTGCCCCCGATTCCTTGGCTGCATCCCAACAGCCCCTGCATCCTGGTGGATCTTGGGTTTGGATCAAAGGAACCCATAGGTTGTCTAGCCTGCCTGCTCAACACCAGGTTGGACCACCCTGCCATTTTCTCTCCACAGTTCCCCCTATGCCAAGGATATGTGACTGATGGTTTGAGGGACCCATTTGGTCTCACAGACTTCCATTTTATGACGCCTAGAATGGTGGTAGACCATTATCAGGATCATAAACAAAATGTACAACCTGACTTTCTATAAAATATTCAAGGCACCTTACAACAGATATTTTTTAAAAATAAAAAAACCCAACACAATGGCAATCTGAAAAAAGGAACATCAATGAGAATTAGTAAATGTCCCAACTTCCAAGGGCACCACATCACTTATCCACTTTCCCCTGAACTCAGATGAAAGGAAAAGGCTCTTTAATTCCTTCCTTTGCAGTGTGTGAACAACAAGAAAGGTTCTGTCAGCTGCTCACTCCTGCGCATCAGCCTAGTAGACACATAAGGAAAGGTGTCTGAGTAATTGAGGTTCATAAAAGGGCTCCGGCATGTCCCAGATTCCTCTAGAGAGTGATTCAGAGGCAGAGATCACCTCTGTCAACATGGCTCCATGATTCTATGATCCCTGACACAGGCAATGCAGTCATTTCCTCCCCCCCATTATATTTTATTAAGTTTCAACATTTTTAACATATACAGTCAAAACACAAATTTGTCTTTTCTCTTATTTTTGTTGACTTCTCATTCCCTTTTCCATGGAGTTGTTGTTCCATCTATCGATCATCTATCATCTATCCATCTTCTATCTATCATCTATCTATATCTATCTATCTATCTATCTATCATCTATCGATCGATATCTATCAAATCATAACCATAATATTACAATCTAATTACTTCTGTTGCTCATAGCTCAAATCCTGCTCATCATACTATATTTCTTTAAATAGTCAAAAAAGGCATCCATTCTTCCATATAACACTCATCATTACGTTCTCTTAATTTTGCAAGTTCTGCACAGTCCATTATCTTATTTATCCATTCTTCTTTTGTTGGAACTTCTTCTTCCTTCCATTTCTGCACATATCGAACCCTAGTTGCTGTTGTTACATACATAAACAATTTTAACATTTTTTGGGTGATTTCTATCTCTATAATCCCTAGCAGAAATATTTTGGGATACACACACACACACACACACACACACTCATTTTAAACATATTTTTTAATCTCATTATGTATCATTTCCCCCAATGCGCCATGCAGTCATTTCCTTGATCTCACTGCCCCCTGAAAAGAAGATGAAGTGGGGCTGCTTGAGGGTGTCTAGGGTCAACATCACTGATGAATGAGGTAGAGACAAAAGTTACTGGATTTCCAGGAGACCAAGGCAAGACATGGGCTGGAGCCTCTTTAGCTCTGGATTCCTGTATTGGCTTGCAAATCCATGGGCTACTACAAGTACAAAGAAAAGGAGGCTTCTGCACGATACATGGCACCTCATTAAGAGTCTAACGTGTGAACCAGCTGTCGGTTGTTCAGTATGCTGCAACAAAACTATTGAGAATAATCCTCCATTTCCTCTTGATTTAAGCAGACAAATAGGTGATTCAGTAGAAAGCCGAGGAATGCAAAGAATGTGTCAATCAGCATTAGGAGAAATGTTCTAGCTTGTCAAGAATGATAAATCAGTAAATGTTCTAGCACTGCAAAGGTTGCTGAAGTCCAAACTGTTTAAAGATTATGCCAATCTGTTGTCTATGCTGCTCTTGAGGGTATTTGTGTGTGGAGAAAGTTCCTTCAGGTTCTTAGAAGCCTAGCTCCTAAGTCCTATTTTTGTGGTATTTACAGTGCTGGTTTTCAGCAGTGTGATCTTCCTGAAATAAGTAGCTAAAGAATATAATACGCTGGTCTTTAAAAAGAAAATAATGGAAGCTGGTCATTATTTATTGGGGAAGAACCCAATAAACCCAAGGAAGAACCAAGAAGAACAGGGATGAAAGGTCAGTCTAGAAATCATGCCCTGTTATGATTATACCAAAGGAAACTGATATATGATCAACATCTATTGCAAAGGTGGGGACATTGGGAAGACCAACATCTGTCACCCTCCAGATGTTGCTGAACTACAACTCCCACCAGCCCCAGACAGCATGGCCAGTGATCAGAGATGATGGGAGTTGTGATTGAAGGTTCAAACACCAGTCAGAGCTACCTGAGAACAATAATGGTTAACAACAATGGCAGCTCTTTTTGCTCTACATTTAGCTTCATTGGAATCTACCAGTTAAACCCTTTCACCAAAACACATTGCCCTTCCCATTTCAGTGTGAATTAAACCAAATATACCTCACATGAACAACAAATTATTGGGGTACAAATGAGGATGAGGTGCTCAGCGGGGAAAGAGCTGGCCCAAACAGTTTTCAATTCACAGAGTATGCTGTATCAGGATGGGAAAGGGGTTCAGAATAAAATCATGGTTAGAGCATGGTGCTGACAACGCCAAGGTTGCAGGTTTGATCCCTGTAAGGGATACTCCTGCCTTGCTGGGGGTTCGACTTGATGAACCAAAGGGTCCCTTGCATCTGTTGTAAACAAAAATTGCCCTTTTCCCTTATGGGGTATCCAAGAGCCCATATAGAGTCCTTACATAGGTTCCCCATTGGTAGGAGAGAATAAGAGGCGCCAACCAGAGAATATTGAGAAGCAAAGCAGCTAGTAAGCTTGATCTTTATTGAACTGTTGCAACAGGGTGCTCCCCTCACCCTCAGGAGAGAGGAGGAACCCAGAAAAATGGCACGCAAGGCCTTATAAAGACTTTTGAAATTGACGCCCTGTAGATCAAGACCAGCCCCAGAAACATCATACATAGATCACAGAAGGGGTGTAACCTAAGACCACCCCTCAGATACATCATACCTACATCACAGAAAAGGCGGTCTTAAGAGAAATTTGAATGTTGTTTTTCTCCTGTCGTTTATCTCCTGTCTGGCAGGATTGGATTGCCTGGGTAGCCTGGCCAGTCTTTCGTAATGATAAATACTTAGTTCCTGGGCCATGTCACACCCTATTCATATCTTAAATGTGCCCTTAAGACAGGATTTATGAGGAACGAGAAAATGGGAGGTTTCCCACTTTGACCTTGCAGAGAAGACATTTGCTCAGTTTAGGAATCAAAATGGTTCCAGGTCGGTCTTCCTGTGCTGATCTATGTATGTGCTTGGTTGGTACACTTATGAACATTACCATATATCTAAGACCATAAAATTCCTATCACACAACTCTGTGATTCTGTGAGAGGAGTAGCTATGAAAACTTGAACATGGTTATTGGGGGAAATCCTGCATTTTGAAATGCCCCGTTAGAAGCCTGTCAGTCTTGTGTGAATAGGCTGATGGAGAAAGTTCAGTCATTCATATTTTTTAAAAAATAGACTTGTAAAGATGGTTATCTATGAAACTTTTAAAGGTACAGGAAGAAAGCTTTGATTCTTGCAACACTACTTTCGACAGCCTGCTGTGTGACAACTTTGAGCGATCACCCTCTAGGTTAACAATTCTTCACTTACCACCTCAGGAGTCCTTTCCCCCCTCTGGGCCTCACAACACGCTGGAAAATCCAGTTGCAACCCAAATTTTTCCATGTGCATTTCTATGTGGGAGTAAACTAAAAAAAGATGTATGGAAGTAAGAGCTGGACCATAAAGAAGGCTGATCACTGAAGAATTGATGCTTTTGAATTATGGTGCTGGAGGAGACTCTTGAGAGTCCCATGGACTGCAAGAAGATCAAACCTATCCATTCTTAAGGAAATCAGCCCTGAATGCTCACTGGAAGGACAGATCCTGAAGCTGAGGCTCCAGTACTTTGGGCACCTCATGAGAAGAGAAGACTGCCTGGAAAAGACCCTGATGGTGGGAAAGATGGAGGGCACAAGGAGAAGGGGACGACAGAGGACGAGATGGTTGGACAGTGTTCTTGAAGCTACGAACATGAGTTTGACCAAACTGCGGGAGGCAGTGGAGGACAGGAGTGCCTGGCGTGCTCTGGTCCATGGGGTCATGAAGAGTCGGACACAACTAAACGACTAAACAACAAAAACTAAAAACAAAAAAAAAAGACTCCTGCATACATCACAGCTGGCACTGTGTTCCCCCTTAAAAAACATGCTGTACAATGCATGGCCATTTATACTGGATGAACATTGGCTCTTATATGGCAGAGAACAGAATTCTAAATATCCTCAACTCTTTTGATAAGGCTCCTTGAAGTGCCACAAGTCCTTTCCTTAGCAATTGCAAGGCCCTTCAAATGAGATCCTGAGCCCGGGGCTAACTCCGTAGCTGTTGAAGAAAGGCAGAGATTTGTTGCAGTCAGTTGAGTGAGGCCACTTGTCTGAACTGGGGCCGAAACAAAATCAAGTGCACTTAACGCAGAGTCACCGCTGGTACTTTGGGAAGAGTACTCTGCTGCGAATAGCAAGCTTTGCACAATGTCGGGAGATTGCATCTCACAAACAGGAGTGCTCACATTTTCCCATCTGTTGTGAATCGTGTTAATTATGAATTAGGGCTCTTTCCTGGTCTCGGGTACCGAGTCCTTTGCAGACTTGGCTTGTGATGTTCCTTGCTGCTGGCCGTGACCACTGAGTCGTTTCTGTGGATAATTTGGAAACTGCCGGTTGCGAACAAAGGCTCCGCTTGGGTTCCTTTATGGATTAAGTGTAACTAGCTGCCTATCAATTATAAACAGGCATTTTCCGAAGCGGGAAGCTCTCTGACTTCTACAGTGAGAAAGACAATTGATGAATTTTGCCTGCTCTCAGGAGAGGTGGGGATCTGGACTTGCTGCCTCTGCTCCAGCCATCCATCTCTCATTATTAGTTGTTGTCTCTGAGCTTTCTGAAAACTTACTGTCATTTTTCCTGCAGTTGCTGCAACTCCCACAAGGTGGGCTTTCTCTCTCTCTCCCTCCCCCCCCTCTCTCTCCTCTCTGGTTCTCCATTGTCTTCTCCAGATGTATCCCCATTTCTTCCTGTTGTTCGAGACGCTGTCCAGATCTAATTATTCTCAGGCATGCTGGGCTCTGGATAGAGCAGATCATACAGTGAGACTTCCACGGCGAAGCATTTATCTAGGGTGGTGTGTGTGTGGATTTCTCTCTCTCAAGGGCCACATTCAATCAGGGTAACCTGTTGGGGCCACATGTTGGGTAGGGGTGGAGCTGGTGTTAGGTAGGTCACCTCATTTTCTCTTCTCTCTTTCTCTCTGCCACTTTCTACCCTTCCTCATCACCTCCTTCTCTCTCCAACCCCCAGAGATCTGACCTGATCACTTTCAGAGGGCTTCTCCCCCCGTCCACTGGTCCATCACTTTTGTCTCTATTCTTCATTTTCCCCTTTCCTTTTCCCCTCCCTCCCCTACATGAGACTAGGCTGCTGATTCCCCACACCTGATCTAGGATACCCTTAGCCCTGTAGTGATGATTCTCATGCTGTTGTAAGATCTCCTGCATTTCAGAAACATCTCCTTTGTCACATGACAGGAGGTCTGTGTTGTTCACACAGAGAAAAGAGAGGTAGTTAGCAAGAAAACTCTCCCAGGGAGCTCAAGCTGCCATGCAGAAGGTTCCCAGGTAGTCTCTCACCCAGGCCCTGGCTGGATCTACACTGACCTGCTTAACGTTAGTAGAACAATAATATATATATTGTTCTAAAACGTCACAGGTGATATTTGTAAATTGAAGTGTTTTTCTTACCTTGTTGGTTTTCTTCCGTCAGAATGCTGTCGGTTGCTCTGCAGTGTCCTCTGGTGTCACATTTTAATAATGCATTATTAAAGGCAGAACGTAATGTGTCCATCTACGTTATGAAAAACATCCTTTAGCCCTTCCTTTGCATAACAAACCTTGAGTGTAGATCTGCCCCCTGTCCAGACCTAGAGTTGCAGGAATGCTGCAGTGTCACGTCCCTGTCCACTATAACTTGAGTCTTATTGCACGACACAGTGAAATTTGACTGGCTCAGTCAACACACATCCGGCTTGTAAATGAAATTCTGAAGCACAGTAGTGCTGCTACCGAGTTACCAGGTTTTTCTTTCTAAACTTGCATTGTTTATGAAGGGTTCCCTCAGGAGGGACAATTTGGGTTGAAGCCTTTCCATCAGATGAAATGGGAGAATGGAATCTCTCGCTCGGTTACATCTTTGCTTCCACCCAATTAATGCCACACTCCAGTAAATACAAACATGCATGGGGAAGCCCCCCTCACAAAAAGTTCAATGCAGGGAAAACAAGTTCTACCACTGTAGCTTCTGATTATTATTTTAATAATGTATATCCTGCTATTGAGGCTTGATTGGGGCTGCACGGCTGTGATATCTCTAGGAGGAGGTAATAACCTGTAGGGGAAAATGACTTTAAATTCTAATGATAATCACAGCATCAGGGAAAATATGTTTCGGCATAGCAATTGGTCGATCCATTTTCACTTTTATTGTATTCAGTTAAAATTCATGAACTGCTTTTCCTCAATGCCCCCTCCCTGCAAAGCAAAGCATTTTACAAAGCAGAGGGGAAGAAAGAAGAAGGCGAGGAGGATCAAAACGATGGCCTAAAAACCCAATATAAAACCACAGTGCCCAGACATTCCACTGAAAATTATAGCCTAACCATTAGCAAGAGTTAAAAGCATAGTACAAGGGTATTCTGAACTACAGCTTCTGTCATCCTTGACCACTGACCATCCTGCCTTAGACTGTTTTCTTGGAGAGCTGCATTTACCCACCCTTACTTCCACAGAGCCTGGGATCAAAGATTAAAGGCAACTCCCTTCAAAATGATGATTTGCAATCCAATACCTCTCATGCTATCTAAGGGTAAACACTCATGTGTTAGCTAGCAGAAAACAACCACAGTTAATTATTGACTCAGTTAGAGCTCAAAGACCCTCTTAATTTAGCTTCTGCGGAATCTCCCCAGGTTAAACCTTTTCACCAATACACAGGAATTCCCATTTCAGTATCTTTTTTTTTTAAAAAAAATATTAATAATTTCAACATAACATTTTATCAAAAAACATATCATCCTTAAAATCCCCCCTCCCTATTTCCCCCCTCCCCAAAACATAACCCACCCTCCACTCCCCCCCCAACTTCCCTCAGCTCCTCTCTCTGGTTTATCAACATATGTCATTTTCTGCATGTTACAAAACTGTACTGATCCTTAATTTAACTATCCAAATGTTATCAATAAAAAGTTTGTGAATGTTTATTCAAAGCCTTCCAAGGAGTCCAGTTCGTTTTGTTGTTTCTTTAAATACTTTGTAAAGGGTTCCCATTCATCTTTAAAATCACAGTTATCCTTGTCATGTAGTTTGTGTGTCATTTTTGCCAATTCTGCATAGTCCATCAATTTTTCTTGCCATAGTTCTTTAGTCGGGATTTCCTCGTTCTTCCATCCTTGTGCTATTAAGACTCCTGCCGCCGTTGTCGCATACATAAAGATATTTTTCAGTTTCCTTGGCAGGTCTTCTCCT